CAAAACTTTTGTTCAATGAAAATTGATGAGCTCATCAACAGGTTAGTTAATAATTTAGTAATTTTCCTTCAAACTTTTATCATTGCAGACTTAAGTAATATGTTTATTTAATTGATATATAAGAAATTATTATTCCTCTACAAATTTTATGCATTGTCTCAGTCATCATGGAAGACTTAGGTTATACTTTTTAGAATGTGAAATGAAAAAGTATTCATATAGCTATTTAGGGGGAATCTTATGGTGAAGTTGGATCTAGGAGGGGTAAAACCAACAATTAAATATAAATAACTGAATGTGAGAAAAAAGAGGTTATGATAAAACTGGTATATAGTATAATAAATTCGGTGAACAGTGCCCAATACAAAATGAAAACAAATTTAATACAACTCCTATTTTCCATACAAATTTAACACACACCGTCTATGATACCATGTAAAAAATCAGTCAGTTCCAATAATTTGAATTGTTGGGAGATGTTCGATAACGAATTTTATACCATATCCACTAATATATACTAACAACACATTTTTTTTATAAGGGTGATATAGGTTTTATTAACAACATATATTTGTTAACACGTATATTTCTGAAGCCGAGGGAAAGAAGTAGACTATGATTATAGAACAAAGGAAGAGTGCATGTGGCGAGTTGAATAACCAACGTGCGACTCACTATATTATATGCGGGACCGGTTAGTATAACAACACCCTTTGTGTTGTTATTGTAACAACACTAGTCTCCAACCAATAGGAAGTTAGGATTGTGATGACTTTTTATTAGATGAGTTGACCTAGTGTAAAATCAAAGCAGGGGTATAATTGTCATTATGAAAAATCTGTTTAAATAATAAATAAATAAAAAATAAAAAAATATATTTTTTTTATTTTTCTGCCCAAAAATTTGGTCGCCGGAATTCAGCCATTGGTCGCCGGAATCTGGTCGCCGGTCACCGGAATATGCTTTTTTTGTCGTCGGAATATGCTATTTTCTCATCGGAATATGCCACCGTCGCCGGAATATGTTCACCGTGGTCGGAATATGCTTACCGGCGTCGGAATCTAGTCATCGGGGCCGGAATATGCCTATCGGCGCCGGAACCTACTCACTGACGGTCATCGGAGTTTGGTCAACGGTCTTCGTTGACCGATCAACGGCCAACGACCACCGGATGTTATGGTCTGCATTGTGAGATTTATGGTTTGGTTTCTCATATTTTTGTATGTCTTTTGTAGTTTGCTTTATCGTGTTTGTGGTTTGCATTAAAAAGTTTCTGGTTTGCTTTATCGTGTTTGTGGTTTGCATTGAGAAGTTTCTGGTTTGCTTTCAAAAACTTTGTGGTTTGCATTGAGGGGTTTCTGGTTTGTTTTAATATATTTGTGGTTTGCATTAGGACGTTTATGGTTTGATTTACTGTGTTTGTGGTTTGCATTATGAGGTTTCTAGTGTGCATTCGCAAATGTTGTGGTTTGCATTGTGGGGTTTCTAGTTTGTTTTAGGGGATTTGTGGTATGAATTAGAAGGTTTATAGTTTGCATTAAGAAGTTTCTGGTGTGCTTTCGAAACTTTTGTGGTTTGCTTTGCAAGGTTTCTGGTTTGTTTTAATATATTTGTGGTTTGCTTTGCGAGGTTTCTGGGTTGTTTTAATAGATTTTTTTTGTTTGCATTAGGACGTTTCTGGTTTGTTTTTGTGGTTTGCTTTATCGTATTTTTGGTTTGCTTTATTGTGTTTCTGGTGTGGTTTCGAAACTTTTGTGATTTGCTTTGCGAGGTTTCTGGTTTGTTTTAATATATTTATGGTCTGCATTACGACGTTTTTGGTTTGCTTTACCGTGTTTTAATGATGCAATTAACAACGTAATTAGCTAAGCAAATTAACAACACAAGCAGTCTGTATGAATCCCGATCATCCAACTCCAAAACCTTCAACAGGCAAAATTTTCTAACAAATGATTCCTTTTTAGCAACTATATGATTCATAATCTGGCAACGAACAGAAGTTGTCATTTTTTCACAATATAGTATGGGAATTGTCCAGTACCACTTCCAAAAATTGCACAACTTACAGAAAGAATCAGTACCTCAGTCTCACCTTCGATGAGATGCAGGTTCTTCTATTATGATTGGGAAAACCAATGATTGCTACAGATGAAGTAAACCCACAACATCTAAGACTTTCCGGGCGAAACTAATCGAAGTACCTGACTGCTTGATACTGTCCTCTCCTCTCAAAAGTTCCCCTACAAGATCTCAAATTGACACCTCTTTTGGACAAAACCAGGAGGAGGAAAGGAAGCATTCTCAATCATTCTTACTGAACTTGCACAATGGCTCCTCTAGTTATCTAATGATGTAGCTAATGGCTAGTGCCTACCAACGACATTTCAGGTTATGGCAACGAAAATTGCTGCTGAAATTAACAAACTCAAAGCTACGAGGCTTAAACTTGAAGGTTGGTTTTGCAAGTGATCCGTCTATCTTAATTAAGCATCAAGCATAGCAGTCTCCCACTCCACGGTGCTCTCCTCTTTCAGCACCATCTGAACCGGCAAGAACCCCATCTCACTCGTCATTGCCAACATCATCTGCCTCGTCTCGGCCTTGAACTCCTCGAGATCCACCGTCCCATTTGAGTCATGATTCGAAAAGGTCGAGAATGTGCTCGCCGCTGCAGGCGTGGTACAGGCCGTCGGAGATGCTCTCCCGACACCCAGTTGCCGCATCTGTTTCTGGCAGCCGCGCATCTCCTCGACGGAGTCGTCGAAGATGGAGAGGCGGTCCTGGAGTGCAGAGGACGCGTGATCGTCAGAGCCGTAGTCGGCCAAGCTTGCAGGCCGGAAGAAGAAGAGAGGACGCAGACGCGAAGGGGGAATCGGAAAATAACCGCTACCGTTGCTTGCCTGGTTGTTTGGATTGTCGTCGGCGCCTGAACCGGGAGAAAGTAGAAATCATGGAATGGTACAGACGAAGAAGAAATTGAGATCGGGATGGGATAGACGGAGAAAGTTAGATTTTTTATTTTATTTTATTTTAATTTATTACTTTTACTCTTTTACCCTTAATGAATCTTGTTGTTATTATAACAACACAAGGAGTGTTGTTATACTATCCGGAGCCAGTTTACTATATTATCAAGCCAAATCCTAACCATATAATATAAGGAGACGTGGCAATGTGGGGGAATAATCGACGTGAGGAGCAAAAACTCGAGACCCACCACAATGCATGTAAGTGGGGACCGGTTACTATGACAACACCCCTTGTGTTGTTATTGTAACAACACTAGTCTCCAACCAATAGGAAGCTAGGGTTGTGATGACTTTTTATTAGTTGAGTTGACCTAGTGTAAAATCAAAGCAGGGGTATAATTGTCATTATGAAAAATATGTTTAAATAATAATAAAAAAATAAAAAAATAAAATTTTTTTTTTTAATTTTCGGGCCAAAATTTTGGTTGCCGGAATTCTGCCACCGGTCGCCGAAAATGGTCGCCGGTCACCGCAATATGCTTTTTGTCGCCAGAATATACTATTTTGTCATCGGAATATGCCACCGTCGCCGGAATATGCTCACCGCGGTCGGAATATGCTTACCGGCGTCGGAATCTAGTCATCGGGGCCGGTATATGCCTATCGGCGTTGGAATCTGTTGACTGACGGTCACCGGAGTTGGGTCAACCAAATTCGTTGACCGGTCAACGGTCTTCGGTCAACGACCACCGGATGTATGGTCTACATTGTGAGATTTATGATTTGGTTTCTCATATTTTTGTATGCCTTTTGTGGTTTGCTTTATCGTGTTTGTGGTTTGCATTACGAAGTTTCTGGTTTGCTTTATCGTGTTTGTGGTTTGCATTGAGAAGTTTCTGGTTTGCTTTCAAAAAAAATTTGTTATGCATTGAGGGGTTTGTGGTTTGTTTTAAGAGATTTGTGGTATGCATTAGGAGGTTTCTGGTTTGTTTTTATGGTTTGCTTTAACGTGTTTGTGGTTTGAATTATGAGGTTTTTGTTGTGTTTTTTAAAATTCTGTGGTTTGCTTTGTGAGGTTTCTGGTTTGTTTTAATATATTTTTGGTATGCATTAGGAGCATTCTGGTTTGTTTTTGTGGTTTGCTTTACGGTGTTTATGGTTTGCGTTATGAGTTTTCTGGTGTGCTTTCAAAATATTTGTGGTTTGGTTTGTGGTGTTTCTGGTTTGTTTTAGGGAATTTGTGGCATGCATTGGGAGGTTTCTGGTATGTTTTGTTATGGTTTGTTTTACCGTGTTTGTAGTTTGTTTTATGAAGTTTCTGGTGTGCTTTGTGGTGTTTTTTATTTGTTTTAGGAGAGTTATGGTTTGTATAATAAGGTTTTTGGTGTGATTTAAAAATATTTATGGCTTCACTTTGTGGTGCATGAGCTCTAATCGTCCGCCTTCTTTGCTCTTTCTCCTCTTCCTTCTTTCAAGTCCAAAGTGTACCGAAATCGGTGAGAAGCTTTCAAAACCAGCGCTGCTAACTGTGAAAAAAGACTAATACGACCAAACACCTTCAGTCCAATCCCCATGGATAAACAAAACCACTCGCTTCACAGATTAACTTTGCATGGATAAACTTCAATGCTTATCCATAAACATCATAATCAATGATATAAACTGTGACTTTTGGGTTCATATGTAAAGCCAATATAAGTTTTCTTACCCCAAATGAGAAGTTTATGCATGCTTGATCAAAGTGAGGGAGGCCAAGCTTTGTCAATTCAACCTAGGTTTTTGTGGACTTAACATAGTTTGATATAGTCTTTCTTTTGGATTTAACCTAATTGCATTCGTCGTTTATTGGCGTGTGAAATAGACTTCTCATTTAAACTATGTTAAGTAGATTTTAATGGTTTGTGAAATAATTTGGTGATTGGAATGGAATATCGCCCGAGAATGTATTTTGGTTTCAAAAAGCAGAGAGTGCAATGGAACGAACAAAACAAGGTTCTCTTCTATATATTGTTCTTAGATTAGATCGGTGCACTGAAAATATCAATCCCTAAGAACTGGACGAATTCATCTCTGACACTGTTTCATCACACCCTCAGTTCAACAACGCCACCAATAAACTACACGTACCGATCTCATGCAAATCCATAGATTCTTCGCGGTGGTGGCGGTTCAGGGTGGTGAGAGGAAGTGAGGAGGCGTGAGGAGGCGGCCGTGGGGTAAATGGGCTGCGGAGATTCGGGATCCGGCGAAGAGGGTTTGGCTCTAGCTGGGGACTTACGATACGGCGGAGGAGGCGGCGATGGTTTATGACAACGCCGCGATTAAGCTCCGGGGACCCGACGCGCTGACGAATTTCTTCAATCCGGCTGTGAAGGGGGAAGAAACAGAGGAGGATAAACATCAATCCTCCGGTTACGACTCCGGTGATGAATCACACAACAACAACCTCGCATCGCCCACCTCTGTTCTCCGATTCAGAAGCCAATCCACTTCGGAGTCCTCCGAGCCGGAAAACAACAAGCCCATTCCTCCGACGCCGATTTCAATCGAGCCGGAAGAGACGATGTCTTTGCTTCTCGCCGAGCCGGTGGGAGAAGACGAGGCGACAGCTGGACTCCAATTCTTGCAGGAGTGCGAGGGTGGAAACAGCGGCGGCGGCAACCTCTACTCCTGCTCCGACGACTACTTTGACCAGTACCTCCTCTCGCCGGAGCTCTCGTTTTTAGAAGACTCTTCTTCTTCGCCCTCGCCGTTTGGGAATCGGAGGAGAACGCTCGACGGAGAAGGAGAAGAGAGCGGAGGGGAATTGGCTTTGGGGATCTTATTAATTGTTTTTTTATTGTAAATTTCCAGTTTTTCCCTTAATGAATTATGTTGTTACTGTAACAACAAATAGAGTGTTGTTATTGTATCCTGTCCCATGTAAGTTTAAGTCTCACCTTCCCTCCTTTGGCCAGCAACAATACAATGGAGCAAGCCCATTTTATTACCATGACACTAGCAGCAGCCCGACAACAGCAAAATCAACAGCAGGCCCTGTATCTACCCCAACAGAACAGGCCCCCAACCAAAACACCGGGAAGGAAGTGGCAACAGAAGAAGAAGAACCCAGAACCAGGCCCGAAAAAAAGAGGAAACCAGATCGAGTCAGCCCAAGCTGCCCCAACCCACAAACGGAGGCTTCGACTAACTTTTCTTTTGACTCTTTGGCTTTTGTTCCAGGAGAAAACATGATAACTTACCAGAGGAGAAAGTATTTTACGAAAAGAAGGAGTTTAGCAGAATTGACAGCGGAAGGGAATCAGTCCGGGGAAGGCGAGTCCAACTCTCCGAGGGCAGCGGCGGCAAGCCTTGAGCCGCCAAACCAAGGATGAGGATTCTGAGCTGGAACTGTAGGGGATTCGGGCGATCCCTTACACGAAGTTATTGTGGCAGACTGTGCCGCCAGTATAGCCCGTCAGTTCTATTCCTAATGGAAACCAGGAAGGATGAACCCTTCATGGAAGACAAAAGGAGAGCACTGAAGTTTGATTACGGCAGTTATGTTAACCCAGTAGATGAAGGTAGTGGGTTGGCTCTTTGGTGGAAGGAGGACGTGAATGTCCGCATTTTGGATGCTTGTAGATTTTACTTGGATGTGTGTATTAGTAGAAAAGGGGAAGACTTCTTCTGTACTTTTGTCCATGCTTCCACCACGGCGGTGGAGAGAAGGGCTCTCTGGGATCGACTTACGATCATTAGAGAAGATCAGGATATCAGTTGGCTTATTGTAGGAGACTTGAATGTTGCCCTGTTCCCTTTTGAAAAACAGGGGAGATGCCCCTTACGAAATGAGAATGTAGACCCCTTGAAGTATTTCATCTCGCAGAATGCTCTGTTCGATCTGGGATTCTCTGGACCAGTCTTTACTTGGTCCAATAATCAGCAGGGAGAAGACTTAATTCGAGAAAGATTGGATCGAGGGCTATGCTCTGCTCAATGGAGACTTAAGTACGAAACAGCCAAGGTATACCATGAAAATTTTGTGAACTCGGATCATTGTCCAATACGGATTGATTTGCAGCCTAAGCAACAAGATAGGGACACCCCGTTTCGATTTGATAAAAGATGGAAAGAAAATGGGGAGTGCACCCAGATCATTGATAACTTGTGGAAGAAAGGAGACAAGATCAATGAAACCCTCGCTCACTGCCGAGAAGAAATTCAGAGATGGGCAAGGACTGATAGAGCGAAGAAAATGAAACGAGAAAAGGATATCAGGATAAGGCTACAAGATTTAAACGGGCCAATGAGAAATCCTGCAGAGATTGAGGAAGAGAAAAGCTTACTGCAGGAGTTGGAGGCAGCATGGAAGCTTGAAGAGGAATTTTGGGCTCAGAGATCCAGAAACTTCTGGCTCCAGGAAGGTGATCAGAACACAGGGTTTTTCCACGCTAGCACAATCAAACGAAAGAACAGGAACCACATCGACAAGCTGAAGAATGAATTGGGGAACTGGTTGACTATTGACCAGAACCTTGAGGGACACGTAACCAATTTCTACTCCAGTCTTTTCTCAAGCATTAATGGAACCTTTAACTCTTCTCTTATTAACGGCTTCCCATCGCTGGTTACGAGGGAAAACAACAACCTTTTGAATGCTAGTATGGAGAAGGCGGAGATTAGACGAGCTGTTTTCCAGTTGGGTGCAAACAAAGCACCAGGATCGGGTGGCTTCCCGGGCCATTTCTTCCGACAGTATTGGCATATCGTGGGGGACAAGCTTTGCGAGGAAATTATCAGCTTTTTCAACAGCAGTGTAATGCCACCGAACTGGAATGACACGTACATCACGTTAATTCCCAAAGTGGATGCCCCTGAAAAAATAGGGCAGTTCAGACCTATTAGCTGCTGTAACTTCCGGTACAAGGTAATCACAAAGATCATGGCCAATAGACTGCAACCGCTCTTGCCAATTTTGGTGAATGAGCTACAAGCAGCCTTTACTGGGGGGAGACAGATTCAAGATAATATTATTATCGTTCATGAGGTCCTAAACCACTTCAAGAAACACAAGGAAGGCAATAACAAATACATGATGATGAAGCTTGACATGAGGAAAGCGTATGACCTGGTGGAATGGGATTTCCTTATTGAACTACTTAAAGCATATGGGTTTGATGACAATTGGTGTGGATGGGTCAGATCATGTATTGACTCAGTGAAGTTCAAAATTCTGTTCAATGGAAGACCTTCGGAGGAGTTTATACCAACTAGGGGTATCCGACAAGGGGATCCCCTTTCTCCCCTACTTTTTATACTGCTGTCCAATGCCCTCTCCTTTCTGATTGAAAAAGCAGTGCAAAGTGGGGAGATTCGGGGTTTGAAGCTGAATAGATCATGCCCTACTTTGTCTCACTGCCTGTTTGCAGACGACACTTTCATCTTTGGAAAGGCCTCAACTGAGGAAGCAGAGAAGATACTGGGAATCCTTCATGCATATGGATCGATTACTGGCCAGGAGGTGAACAGAGAAAAATCCTCCTTCTTTTTCAGTCGTAATGTGCCTGAGGATGAAAAAGAAAGAATCATCCAGACGGTGGGTTTTGCAGAGTCGAATTGTCATTCATCGTACTTGGGTGTCCCAACTGAGTGGGGAAGATCGAAGAAGGATACCTTCCGATTCATCATCCAGAGAATGGAAAACAAAGGGGAAGCTTGGAAGAGTCTTCTTTTATCCCTAGGAGGTAAAGAGACACTGCTGAAGGCTGTTTTCCAGGCAATACCATCATACATCATGTGCCTCTTTCTTCTCCCACGTTCGGCCACAAACAAAATGGATTCCATGCTCAGAAACTTCTTTTGGGGAGGAAATATCTCAAAACGTTCGATACATTGGAAGGCGGGACATGTTCTTTATGCTCCAAAAGAGGAAGGGGGATTGGGATTCAGGCCTTTTCGCACTTTCAACATGGCCCTTCTTGCAAAGCAAGCTTGGCGTGCACTCACCAGCCCTGATGCTCTGTGGGTCAGAGTGCTTAAAAGTATTTACTTCCCAAGAACGGACTTCCTGGCAGCAAAGAAAGGGAGCAAGGCATCTTGGATTCGGGCTAGCCTTTGTGAAGCAAAGAATTGGATGGAGAAGGGAGTGGTTAGAGTTATTGGAAATGGGAAGTCAACGAGGTTCTTCAAGGATCCCTGGCGCTTTGATCGACCAGGCCCTATCTTCCCTTACACCTCCTCTGACCCAGCAACGGCTGACACTTTTATTGACTCTGTCACAAGGGAATAGAAGTTTGATCTCCTGACCCACATCATCGACCCTCAAGACCTCAATAGTGTTGCTGGCACACCCATTGGACCTGCCTCAATGTCAGATTTCTGGGCATGGAGACTTTCGGAGCAGGGGAACTTCTCAGTTAAGTCAGCTTTCCACCTTTTCCACAATCAATCTCGCAGTAACCAAGGGGACAGCAACCCTTTCCCGGAAGCAGCTAAAGAAAAATGGAAATGGCTTTGGAGCTTGTCTCTCCCTCCAAAGTTGAAATTCTTCATATGGAAATGTGCAAAAAATGCACTGGCATCGAAAGAGAACCTGTATGCGAGGAGGTGCTCCCCCACCAGATCATGCAGCATTTGCAACTGCCTTTCTGAGACTGTCCACCACTGTTTGTTTGAATGCCCCCACGCAGGAACAGGGTGGAGCTGCGAATGGCCTGGACTGAGCCTCCCTCCCCCCCCTCACCAATATTCTGGACTGGCTTTTCTCTTTACAGGCCCGGTTCTCTTGCCTTTCGATCCAGCGGATCATTTTCCAGATGTGGCAGACCTGGAAAGCTCGTAATGAGCGCATCTTCAAAGGCATTCTCCCCTTGCCACCTTCCACGATACAGAAAGCTCAAATTGCACAGAACCAATGGAGTACCTGTCCCAGGAAGATGAAAGATCCTCCCCCTCAACCTCAGCACAATCCACCCCTTGATACTCCCTATCCACCGCCAAGTACTCATGATTTTGAGATACACTGTGACGGATCCTTTTTCAGTGAATCACAGGAGGCGGCTTTTGGCATCGTTGTGACGAATTGCCACGGACAGGTGTGTGACGGGAAGGCTGAGACTATGCAATGTTTTTCACCACTTGAAGCTGAAGCAAAAGCCCTCTGGGAGGGAACGAGATTGGCGGCCTCACTATCAACATCCTGCAGGATCGTTTCTGACTGCCTCACCCTCATTAAGGCCCTGGCAAGCAGCAAGGAGATATGGCCATGGCGAGCAGCGATTTGGATCAACCATATTAAGAGCCTGGCTTCCATCCACCCGGGACTGCGATTCGACTACACAAACAGAAAAAGTAACTCGAAAGCTAACTGGGTTGCGAGATCGTGTGCAAAAAAGCAGCTCCCAACAGAATGGATCCAAGTTCTCGATGTTATTGCTCCCCTTCTGTAACTGAAGCTTTCAGCTATAAGGAATGAAAAAAATTTGTCCTTTGTCAAAAAAAAAACAATACAATGGAAACCAACATATATACAGAACAGAACCATCCTATTCCTATATATAGACCACGCCATATGTTGGTCAATCATCAAACTCCCAACTATTCCCTCATTTCTTTCTTCTCAACAAAAACACCAAGACGAGAGAAGCCAGTTGCTCAGTCGATGTCAAAACCAGAAGAATCGAGGAAAAGGCCGAGAACCAGCAGTGGCCTTCGATGTGCCCAAGTCCAAACACGATGAACCTATCATTAATTTGCACAATGGTGAGCCTATCAAGCCAAGCCGTTCAGTGGCTACTACTCGAAACCTACTTACCCACACTAATCTATTGGATGCCCAAGCTAAACATTCCAAAACCGGAAGAAGCTTTTTCGGTCGCCGTTCGTCATCTGCAAATCAGCCTCCGGATATGCTCCCATTAAAGGTAAACTTATTACACCTAATGCCAAGATTTTCTTTCTCCCCCCGTCTCCCAATCACATTATATGATTTTCTGATCAATGTGATTTTTCATATATTTTCACCTTCCATTCATCAGGAGCTGTGGTGAGAATTAAATGTTTGGAAGTGGGCAATGTGATGTGCCTCTGCTCTCGTTTTTCATTGTCCTCCCCGTTCCGGTCCCATTGGTCTTTTTCAACTCTGAGCAGTCCGATCACAACCTTGTCCACCGCCATACAATCCCAATTCGATGATTCACTGTGATGGGTCGTCTTTGAACAATTCCCAGGAGGCGGCTTAGGGAGTTGCAATGTTCATTCTCCATGGTCATGCTTGTTGAGGAGGCAGCTCAACAGGCTGAATGTCACTAGCAAGGGAATGAAACGGGAAGATTGCCTCGTCAAAAACCACGTCGCGGGAAACAAAGAGCTTCCGAGAGGAGAGCTCAAGTAAACGATAACCCTTTCGAGAGAATGGATAGCCGAGGAACACACAAGCTCTGCCTCGTTCACCAAACTTGTCCAAGTGAGAGTGCGTATCTTTCGAATACGCCAGGCAACCAAATGCCCGCAAATGAGCATACGAAGGACGACGATTAAAAAGGTGCTCATAAGGTGTCTGATTTCCAAGAGCACGATGAGGTAACCGATTAATCAAGTAGCCAGCTGTGAGAACACATTCGCCCCAAAAACGCTTAGGTAAATTCGCGTGGAAACGTAGTGCCCGGGCTGTGTCGAGAATGTGACGATGCTTGCGCTCGACGACTCCATTTTGTTGCGGAGTGTCAGTGCAAGAGGTCTGCAGATGGATACCCTCCGTAGAATAAAAATCAAGTAACTCATGCGACTTAAATTCACTGCCATTGTCCGTCTGTATAACCTTGACTGCAGCACCAAACTGACGAGAAGCTTGACGAATGAAAAGTTTCAAATACTTAGCTGCTTCAGATTTGAACTTAAGTAAATAAATCCACACACCCCGAGTAAAATCATCAACCACGGTAAGGAAAAACTGAGCACCACTGATAGACGGGACCTTGTAACCGCCCAAATGTCAATGTGAATAGTATCAAAAGGTTTCGAGCTGCGAATGGAGCTAGATGGGAAAACCAAACGAGGCTGCTTTGCTCGCAAACAGGATGAGCAATGCGGCTTATTCAAAGTACGAGTGCTAGGAACTAAATGCAACAAATCCAATTTCTCGGGAGAAGGATGTCCCAATCGGGAATGCCACAAGTCAGCGGCAACAGTACTCCTGGCAGCACACGCCATCTCCTCGCGAACTGCATCAAATAACTGGAGATAGTAGAGGCCATTACTCTGTGTCCCCGTCCCAATAATCATTTTCGAGCGTAAGTCCTGTATCACACAGAAGTCGCGCAAGAAGATCAACGCCAGAGAAAAATCCCGAGTAAGCTGACTAACAGAGAGTAGATTGCATTTAAATTCCGGAACAAGAAGCACCCGCGGCAATGTCATTCCATTAGACAACCGGACTAAACCAACTCCACAAACCCCAATGACTGAACCATCCGGAACCCAAACTTGCAAATCGGATCCTTCCAGTGACCCAGAAATCATGTGAGAAGCATTGACGATATGTTCATTACAGCCCGTATCAATCACCCAATCATCACTACGATCAGACAGAGGCAAAAGGTTACCTGTCATTTTGTCCGGGGCAGCTTTCAATTCCCCACCGAACAGGGTCTTCAGCTGCTCGAACTGGGAAGCTGTTAATCCAGGAATGGGACTGTCGCTGACCTCCACCTGAGCTGCACGAGGCCCAACTCGACCACGTTCACTAGGCTTACGTCGGGAGTCCTTCTCCTTCTCTTTCTCGCCTTTAGAGGAACCACGTTCGGGCCACCCTATTAATTCAAAGCAACGATCCCGTGTATGCCCAGATTTGCCGCAGTGATCACACTAGAAACGGGGTCTCGAAGAGTCCTCTCGACGCCCTGAGGAACTGCGTGGAGGTGTGCGCCCGTCCGCAATGTGAAAGGCAGCAGCTTCAACATGGGGACGCCGGTGCTGGTGATTTTACGTTGCTGTTCGTCGTTGTTGACCAAATGGTAGGCATCCGCAAGGCTAGGAATGGGACGCATCGCTAGGATTTGCGTCTTAACAGTGGAGAACGCGTCGTCCAACCCCATCAAGAAATCAAACAATTGTTCACTATTTTTGGTCTCCCGGTACTTGCGCTTTACATCGCAAGTGCAGCCACCACAACTGCATTCAGGTGCGGGAGAGATAGATTGAATTTCGTCCCAAACTCCACGAAGCTTGGTATAAAAACTAGAGACGCTCGACTTTTCCTGTTGGAGTAGAGCAATCATGCGCCTCAATTCATACAATCTCGGCGCACTCCCACGACCAAACCGAGCTTCGAGATCCAGCCATATCTCGCGGGCTGTGCAAGCAAACTGGGCACTTGAACGGAGCTCCTTGCTCATGGCGGTTTTTAGCCAACCCTTAACCATGGCGTCACACCGCTTCCATTGCTCAAGAAGCACACCATCTGTGGGTTTGGGAAGAGAACCATCGACAAAACCCATCTTATTTTTAGCAATAAACGAATCCGTAATATCACCAATCCACTCACCATAGTTCGAATCGATGAGGAGTTCTCCAACGAACAGCTGGTTGGGACTATCAGAATGAGGAAGAATAAAAGCCGGAGGAAACCCTTCTCCGCTACCGCTTGCGGCGGTCTTTGTAGTTGTCGCAGATGACTTCGTCGTCTCATCATCGGAGGCCATGATCTCGTCACCGCTCTGATACCATGCAAGAAACACTCAAAACAACACGATTTACGTGGTATCCTCGTTCGTAAGAACGAGACTAATCCACGGAAGACTCACAAAGGAGTCTTCGGCTGAACTTTTATTAGGGTTTTCCTTTTGAACCAAAAACCTACCGAACACAGCTCGGCAGCAAACACATATAAATATATATGGGATGTGCATTCCGTTTTCACCAGTAGCAAGGAATGCAAAACACTAAACACCCCATAAACAAATAAAACATGACAAACGAGTACATCCCACTCGTTATGCATACGTACGTCCTAAATACGTACGTACGTCTCCAACACATTTGGTTCAGGTTATAAAGATGGCGATGGATTCTCTGTATTTTGGCTCTTGTAAGGAAATCCCATGTTTTCATTGTTCTTGCTGTGTTGTCTTTATTTTGTGCTTTTTACCTTTGTCATGTTGTCTATCCATAGTGTTGGGGTTTTCCTTCTTTTGCTAGGATTAAGTTTGTTTCCCCCTCAGTGTAACCTCGTTCTTTCGAAGTGGAATATAAGCAAACCCTTTGTAAAAAAAAAGGGGGTATGAGACGGTTTCAGTGTCATGTCACCAGTCCAACTGATGCCAAGGGCTATTTCTTCAAGACTCTGCCTTCTAACAACAAGCTGGTCAAGAATTCATGGGAAAATTGCAAGGCTTTCCTCGAGCAATCTCCATTGGAGGAATGTGGAGTTCCAAGCAATGTGAACAGAGGAATCGATGGTTACAAGTTGTCTTCTCATCGCATTTTGCAAGACAAGCACCTCAAATTATACCCAGTTGGACCTTTCTTTTATACACCAGAGCACAAACCAATGGTGAACAGAGCACCGGCGGGTGGCTACTAAATTTTCTATTCATGGCCTCAAATTTTATTTTGGTTTTTCAGTTCAACTATTTGAGTTGTTCATTCACATTACTTTGGAGTTTGAATCCTAAGGTTTATTACTTTGTTTTTTTTTTGTTTCATTTCTTGGTATCTCATGGTGGGTTTCCCATGTTTGTTAACTCCATCGAGTGTAAGAGACTAAGAGTTGTAGTTTTTTTTTAATGAGAAGAATTTTCAATGCTTGCTACTCTTTCTTCATTTTTAAATTTTTTTCAAAGATATTCCCGAAAGAAACAACTAGATACGAATTCAAATTCTTTTTAGCCAACCGTAATAAATTATACAGAGAAAAGAAATGAACAATGATCGACAAATAGTCAAATCAGTCTTTTCTGCTACAATACAAACATGTCTTTGGTACCTACAAGTATAGACAATAGCCATGACTTGAAGAGATTTGAGTGGCTCTATGTCGACACAGTTAACAATGGGAGCCTACAGTTGGGCTTGGTCAGAGATTGGGCCAGATTTCCCTTTTTCTCTAAAGGAATTTTTAACTAAACTGGTCCACTTCCTTTCCAGTTGAGCGAATCTCCAGAAATGGGGCTTTTGACCACTGACGGATATTATGTTTCTGTGTGTGTGGTGAGTCACTGACGTACTACGGGCCGACAATGGATATTCGTCTCCAAATGTGCGGTTTCTCCCTCCCGCTAACCCGACAGGAGGAAAATAAAATACTAAGTAACCGAAAGTACCCTTCCTCCAACTCACAGTGGCTTTCCTTCAAAGAGTCACTGAATCGTAATATTAAAACTCAAACGAAAGAAATATGGTCAAACGATCTTTTATAAGGAAAAAAATGAAATTTTTATCTACAAATATATTATAGCAGAATTGAGAGCGTTTTTTCCGCATTTCAAATTTCCTGCAACGAGGGCAAAAGTATGAAGGGTAACTATGTCTTCATAATCATTATTTATTTTTCATTCATAAAAGAACACATCAATATCAGGATTTGAACCATGGTCTTTCCAAACAAAGACATCAGTCATTACCAATTACACAAAAGAAATGTTTTCCATTTTTTTAAATACAAAATATGAAAACCTGAACTCTAAAAATCATAGGACTTTCCACTACTGTTAGCTAGCTCACTAACTCTCCCGTAAGTACTTCCTTTGTTATTTGATATTTAAATTTTAGGGTATGCCTACGGTGACATGCACTTTCCGGTCGACCTCAGTTAGGATTAGGTCGACCTCATTTAGAATTCGGTCGACCTCATATAGGATCTGGTCGACCTAATCTGTTGTTTCAGTGTAAAACAATTCATACAATTGGCTAGATGGAAATTGAAGACTAATGACTTGTTTTAAAACTGGAGTGTCCCTCTACATATTGAAGTGGAAGAGAGCTCGATAGGAAGTTCAGAAGACCATTTTTGAACCTCGTCAAAAGGCTATGCCAAAACTGGGAAACTGCCTAGAAATGGCTAAGTCTGGAAACGTGTTTGTGAAGCCTATTTTGGAGCTCAATTCGAGAAGCATGAATGCGAGTCGAGTCCAAGAGCCTCTACCACGTTAAATTAGGTATGTTTTTATACAAATTCAAGGCATTGGATGAAAGATTGGATATCTTTAAGGCTTCAAACAAAAGGGTCGAAGTTGCTACGAAGGCTGTATTTCTAGCAAATTCAAGCTGCCAGAAAAACAGTCTTCGTAGCAACTTCGAGCCTTTTGTTTGAAGCCTTAAAGATATTCAATATTTCATCCAATGCCTTGCATTTGTATAATAAAATACTTAATTTAACATGGTAGAGGCCCATAGACTTGACTCGCATCCATGCTTCTCAAATTGAGCTCCAAAGTAGGCTTGACAAACACGTTGCCAGACTTACCATTTTCAAGCAGTTTCCCAGTTTTGGCATAGCCTTTTGGTCATGTTCAAAAATGGTCTTCTAGACTTTCTATTGAGCTCCCAAGTACTTTAATGTGTAGAGGGACACTTCAGCTTCAAAACAAGCCTTTAATCTCCAATTTCCATCTAGCCAATTGTAAGATATGAATCTCCAAAGTAGGCACCATGAAACTGTTTTTACACTGAAACAACAAATTAGGTCGACCAAATCCTATATGAGGTCGACCGAAAAGTGCATGTCACCGTGACATGCATGTCACCGTAGCAAAGTCCTAAATTTTAATATTTTAATTTGATTATAATAATAAATTAATTAATATCTATCTTATAACTGGAGAATAATTTTAAAATTGCAATCCAAATATCATTGATTTGAATAATGCATACTAAATTGCAGTATTTAATGTGTAGATGTGATTTAGAATTCTTAACTTGGTATTAATTTTTAGAACTATAAAAGCAACGATATTATTATGCAAACTATAAGTGACTAGTTTTTTGAAAGTTTTAGTTTGGTTATACATTAAATCCTAAATCTCTTGATAATATAACATGGTTTGACAAATGAGTGAATTTAAAAGCACACAATTTTTTATACCAGTTTTTCTAGATGATTTCAATTATTTAATTTCTTTATCTTATAGGATAATTGACGATATGTATCATTCATAGTTACTTAGTTTAATATGAAATAACCGCAATACATGACAAATTATAAAAGTCGAGTTGGAGTTTTCACAGATGCATTGATGTGGTCGTGTGCATTAACAAGGTAGGTACTAGGTACCACAAGATAGGTTTAATTTTTTGTTGTTGAGTAAATAAGATTGTCCTTCAACAAAATTTAGAGTATGTTGGTTAATAAATAAGTTTTTCATTGCGTAGAGTATAGATGAAAAAATATGATATTCTTGCTAATTTTGTTATTGTATTGTGCAGAATACTTTACAGATCGTTTGGTACCAAATGAATCGAGAATTCATTTCACTGTAAAATGAATTACCGTGTAGAATTCATTGTCAAATGAAATCTTGTGTTTGGTATGCCATATTCAAATCCTTAGAGATAAAAATTAATTGTCAAATGAATTGTTGTGCAGAATTCATTGTCAAATGAATTCCTGTATTTTGTATGTCATATGTATAAGTAATTTAGTTAATAAAAGAGGATAATTATATCATTCTATTAGAATTAATAAATACTTGTGGAATTCATTTGGAAATTTCATCTCAATTCCTCGGAATTGCTATAACTAGTTCCAATTCCATAGAATTCAAAATTTAGAATTGAAAATGAATTCATTTAAATACCAAACACAAAAATATTTTATTTCAAAATGAATTTCTCAAAACTTATGGAATTCATTTATACCAAGCGATATCTTAAGGTTTAGATAGTGCTATATCTGTATTGTTCTCAAGCAAACTAAATAAATATTGACTAAAGATTGTGATCATGACATTTTTTCATACAAACTCTTTTTTTGTCATGTCAATTTTTGTCCAACCATAAGCAACTAAGTGACTACATCATTGAATAGACAAGTTATGAATGATTATTCACGATTGTTATGACCAAGGTTGTTCCACCTCTACCAGGCGGCTGGTTGGACTAGGTCTGACCAAAGTTGTGCTCCAAAACGGGCTCTACAAAACTAAGGGTCTGATAGTTAGAGAGGGAGAAAAATAAAGAGGGGAGGGGGAGAGAACCAAGGGGATGGTGGGTGGATCTTGAGATATGTTTGTTTTTTTGGAATTTGAATTTTTAAATGTTGTAAGTTAGTACATTCTATTTCAGTCACTAAATTTCTATCTTATTTGTAAATATATTTAGAAAAGGTGTAAAACGGCTCAAACAGGTTAGACCTCAATCAAACCATTAAACTTCAAATCACTTGCTTGACTGGCTCAACGGCTTGAATCAGTTTGACAATTTTTTTTTAGAGAACGAGTTTGACAACTTTGATTATATTCATTAAGTTTACAATGTTAATCGTTGATGAAAAGTTATAGAAATTTCAAAAATGAAAAAATAATTTCGATGTCTATCTTAATGTCTCAAGAAATTCAACATTTTAAATAATTTAAAAATTTTAAATACTCATAATAAATGACATTCCGACAAACGGGTCGGAGAACAAGCTAGTTTATATATACTGTGGTGTACGCTTTAGAAAACGGAACCAGAAAAGCCCAGTTTCCTCCTTTTCGTTCGCCGGTGGCCGGAGGGTCGTCGAAATCACGGTGGAGGGGTCCTTACTTTGATTTAGTATGACGTGTCTATCGCTTTCATGTCTGAGATTACTTTAAGGTAAGCAAATGCCAGAAGGTTTGAGCTTGCTAAGTTAATTAATCCCTCCATACTATTTTTCTTCTCTTGCTGTCCTCTGCACTTTACAGCATGATTTGGTTTTCCCTTTCCGCATGTGTAGATAATGATCAGCTTGTGATCCTTCATTGATATACTCGACTATCAGGATTCTTTCCTTGTTGTTCCAGAGATGCAATCTTGGTTGCTTTAGGCTGATTGTTTTGTGAATTGGCACAATTTCCTGTGATGGGTGGGTTGGTTGATTGGTAAAGTTGGAAACTTGGAGGATTGTTTTTTTTTTTTTTAACAAGAGGACACTGAAATTCCATTACTTGAAGCAGAAGCCAAGAGTTACAACAGAGGTGAGACCACATCCAGAATCTGAAGCCATTCATTGGGTAGAGATTTCGTGGCACAAGATCTAGCAACCCAGTTCGCTTTAACATTGTTCTTACGACCAATATGCGAGATCCGGACAAGGGGATTGGAAATCATCATTTGCTTGATAGTGCTGATCCATGCAGCAGCTCTCCATGGCCATTCTTTCTGGTGATCATGCAGTGCATTGACAAGAGGCAGGCAGTCCGATCGAACAAGACAAGTGGAGTGTAGTTCAGCAGCCAAACGATAGCCAACCAAAAGGGCCTTAGCTTCAGCTTCAAGTGGGGAGAAACAGTGCAAGGTCTCAGCCTTACCATCGCAAACTTGACCATGGCTGTTCATAACGATGACGCCATATGCCGCCTCCTGGGAGTCGCTGAAAAACGACCCGTCGCAGTGTATCTCAAA